AAAATAGAAGCAAGAGAGAGAGAGAGAGGAATGAAGGGAGGGAGGAGGGAGGAAGGTGAGGAAGGGAGGAAGAGAGGGAGGAGGAAGGAAGGGAGGTAGGGAGGGAGGGAGAGGGAGGGAGTGGAGAGAGGATAATATGTAGGCAGGCAGTGGCAAACTACGCTTGTAATCTCAGGCTACTCAGGACGTCTGACGGCAAGAGAATCACTTGGATACCTGGGAAACGGAGGCTGCGCAGTAAGCTGACGATGGCACCACTGCACTCCCCACCTGGGCAACATAACGTGAGACTCTCATCTCTAGAGAGACAGAAAAAAAAAAAATCATTAGAAATACCCTGCCTCTATGTCTATATATCATATTTCGCCACTATATATGTCTATGTCTACTATATATGTATGTATATACTGATCACTACTATATAGTATGTACTAATGTTCTATAAAGTGTCTTATGTAAAGACCTATTAGTTTGTCTTTTCAAAGAACAAAAGTATGCACACACCTCTCCAAACAAGAAAACTAGTCCAAAGCTGTTGAATACCCAATTGCAGGAGACACCTTATGTTAAACGCTACTATTACTAAGGATGAAGCAATAGGATGTAAAAGGTAACAGTATATAAAAACAAAAGAGGAAACATTTTCGAGTCCCATTGTGTAGTGTGGACAGGAAAGCTTCTAAAATTTTTCTTAACACTGAATCGCTGTCGTGCATGTCAAAGCCAGTATTAGGTACTCCCATAATAGTTCAATTGTGTAGCAGCTGCATTCTGTAGCTCGTATTTTTTTGAGCAGGCAAAGAACGTCATGCTTAATTAAATTGGAACAACGCTAAATATAACTTTAAAAGTCCAATTTTGACTATGATTCCTATATTTCTGTAGAAGCAGCAAAAGCAGCAACAAAGTCATCTCTCCTCGCAAATACGAACACCACTCTCAAACTATTCCATAATAGAGAAATCAGGTTAATTGCGTTTCTAGCCTTCAAGTCTATCATATGTTATAGATTACTATCCAGTGGAAGTTCAAATTCAAACCTACTTTGTACAATAGAGAATTCAACTTGTTATAAATCGTTGGGAAATTATGCCACTCATTATCCACAAATATCCCCACTGCCAACAGGAAAAATGTAAAATATTACACAGGGTATAATTCCAATTTATTTGTTTTTATTTTAAATTTTATTTTTAACTGACAAATAATGATTGTATATATTTGTGGGGTACAGTTTCCTTATTTGTAATGCAGGAATTATAATAACATCTTACCTTTTGTGAGGATTAAATCAGAGAATGTACATAAAGCACTTATTACTTAGAAACCATTAATTCATTCAACAAACATTTGAGGAGTTATTAAGTGAAGCCTCAGTACAAGTAGTGAAAAAAACATGTAGCGCCTATCCTCAGGAAACTCTCTTTTTAGCTGGAAAGATATTTTTAAAATGTATAAAAACAAAAAAATGTATAATTGTGGTAAGTTATTATAAAGGAAATAAAGTAGGTTCAATGATGGAGAATTACTTAGACTGGTTAGGGAGATAAAGAAAAATTTTAGGGAAAGGGTAACATTTAGCAGAGGCCAGAGAGAGAATGCTTAGTAGAAGACAGAATCAAGAATGGCTCTAAAGAAGGGGAAAATGCATGCCCAGTAGAGCGGAGGCCAGTATGACTGCAGAACAGTGAGCCACGAGGGTAGTAACATGAAAGTAATTTGGAGGGTGAGGTAGTATACAGAGTTAGCAGGTCTCTATAGCCATGGTGAAGACTTTGGACTTTTATTCTAAGTATAATGGGAAACCACTGGAGGGTTTCAAATAGGGAAGCCATTGCATTTAACACATTTACACATCAGGAAAAAAAAAATATTGCAATACTCCATTTGGCTAGGGAGACTGAGTTTCAAAATACTCTGCAGTGCTCATCTTTTTTTTAAAATAGTATTGTTCATTCCGTTTAGGTGGAAAATTTTAAATACGTTCCCCATTTCCTGACTTGATTTAAAAAAAAAAAATAACGGCTTTTTTCTTTTTTCCCTCTTTAGAAGCATTATGATCAACAGTTCAGCTGAGTTATGGATATAAGTTTAATTTTTATCACTTGTCTTTTTAATTTTGAACTGTCCCAATAATCTAGTTACTCACAGAACTGGTCAGACTTCTTGGCAAATAAACAACTGAGTTAAAAACTAAAAGAGACTAAGTTTGTGTCGTTATTTTTTTTTCTATAAAATCACCATCTTCACCACCTTATCGGGGGCAACTTTTATTTAGTAACATTTGAAGTGTTCTTACTTTGTCAATTATGGATAAACAATCCAGTTTGCCTTTCTACCCTTACTCAAAGGATGCTGTGAATTGCTGGAAAAAGTCCAAAACTGCAATTATTTGATCCATCATGAACTCCTTACTTAGTGTCTCTTGTTGACCTCTATATCAACATGTTACATATGGGGTATTCTAAGCCCTTTGCACGCCCAATTCAGGAACTCCAACTGCTGATAGGACTCCTCCTCCTCCCTATCCCATTTCCCCCTACTCTTGGCAAAACTGCCTCTTTCCCAAACTTATCTCCTGTCCACCTCAAAAATGTTGTCCTTTATTTTCCTTTCCTCCTATCTCAGAAAACGGTTTCTCTGAATTTTCAAGATTAGTTACTGTATCTGCGCTACTGATAACCCCTCTTGCTTTATCAGTTATTAAATCTGTTTTTCCTCTTCAGTCTCTGATACTACCCTTCTTCTTTCACAAGCGCTCAAAAGTAAACAGATCAACAGACAGACAAATCGGTCGCTGAGTTTTACTTACATGCCTGTCACACACTCTTATGCAGTTATTCTTCTGTATTTCAGACTCTTACCAATTTAACCTAGGCTCTCATTATCCCTCCCTCAAAAAGTAGCCAAACATTTCTGTATAGCCAATCTAATCTTCCAACAAACATTTTAATCATAATACTCATGTATTCAAAATTCTTCCACAAGCCCATCAATATAATTCAAACACTTTTTTTCTGGCTTTCAAATTTTTCAACAATCTGGCTCTGATCCACCTATCCTCATACAATGATAGTGGGTTGCTATCTATTATCTTTATTCTACCTACAAAATTCAGTAAAATACAAATCTACAATTTTCAGTAAAATACAGTCTATAAATTCACATCCTATTCCATACTACCTTAATTTCTCAGTTATTATTTGAAGACAGTGTCTTTTAACTTGTAAGGTCTGTACTAACTCTGAGTGGTTAGTGCCAGAATTGAGTTGCAGTAGACTAGTTAAGGTTGAAACAGAATACTTCCTTCCTGATTGGTACCCTTTATAATAAAACTGTAATCGTAAGTATAACACTCTCCTGAATTCTGTGAGTTGTTCTAGCATATTCTTGAACCTTACGGGGTCATGGAAAACCCTGGATTTGTAGCCAGTTGACAGAAGTGCAGGTGATCTGGGGATACTCAAAGTGAGGCTGAAGTCTGAAGTAAAGGCAGTACTGTTGGACACTGTGAATTGTGGGGTATGCACTGACTCCAGGTGGTTAATGCCAGACTTGAATTGCACTACACCTGTTGGGGTTGAAACAGAACACTTCCTTCCAATTTCTACCAAGTCAAGACAAAGTTTCTGTGATCATTATTCAAGACTACTCAAGCTCCTTCTAATTTACCACAGTAAATAAAAATTTGTACTCTGTGAATTCAATGCCATTAAATGCTGTGACTGGGAAGTAGAATGGGAGAATGAAGGGTACAGGAGGCAAGATTTTAAAAATTCACATGTAAGATGATTTTACCCACACTAAACTACTTACAATTGTTGATTATTCCCTATAGCTCCCTATTTTCCTATTTACATGCATGTCATTCACCTTTTTGTAAAACCTTTTACCTCCTATCTCTACCAATGAGAATCCTACCTGAATTTTAAGAGTCTGATCAAATGTCACTTCCACAGAGAGGCCTTCTTTGGTTCTAACTGGAAATAATTTTAAATCTCAGATTAAGGCAAATAAGCATATTAGAAAGCAATAAATAAGAAGTGTTCACAGTTCTACCATTTCTAGTATGAACTTGAATAAGTCACTTGAGCTTTTCAAACATGTAAAATGAAGATAGGACCAAACAACACACTACATTTCTCAGAAAATTCTTCTGCCTCAAAAAATTTAGAAACACATTCTTTTAAACTGTCAGGAGCTGTCGATGAAGAGAAAGCAAAAAATCAGAGTGATATACTAACACAGTGGTAAAGCCATGGCTGCCCCCAAAAGAACCACAAATCAGCCTAGGAAGGACGACAGATATTACCTTGAGCCCATGTAAGAGTGAGCTGGATCTGAGGTATCTACATAAAGCTAGGATCTCTGTGAAAAGATGAATGAGAAAACAAAAACTGCCTGCTGGTCAAAGAAAATGACAGGTTTTGGCCAGGCGTAGTGGCTCACGCCTATAATCCCAGCACTTTGGGAGGCCAAGGCAAGTGGATCATGAGGTCAGGAGTTCCAAGACTAGCCTGGCCAAGATGGTGAAACCTTGTCTCTACTAAAAATACAAAAATTAGCTGGGTGTGGCGGCATGCACCTGTAGTCCTAGCTACTCGGGAGGCTGAGGCAGAAGAATTTCTTGAACCTAAAAGGTGGAATTTGCAGTGAGCCAAGATCACGCCACTGCACTCCAGCCTGGGTGACAGAGCAAGATTACGTCTCAAAAAATAAAAATAAAAAATAAAATAAAATAAAAATGACAGATTTTGGCCTGTGGTCTTAAGTAAAGACATGCAGTTGCCCTTGAGTATTTGTAAGGATAGGTCTACGTTCACACATACTTTAAATTCTGAATATAAGCTCATAACCACAAAATGTAATACACGCAAGGGAAACTGCTACCACGAGTAAGAGTCAGCAGAAACAACGCTGAATTAAAACCCTGACACTTCAATATTAAAATTAGCAGTTACAGATTATAAAATGTTTAAATACATAAGAGAGAATAACACGAGCTATAAACAATCTAATTCTATGCAAATTTGCAAAGAAAACCAAATTGAACTTCTAGAAATGAAGAATATAACTAACATTAAGAATTCAATGGAGTAGGCCTAGCCAGAACAATCAGGCAAGATAAAGAAATAATGGGCATTCAAATAGAAAAAGAGTAAGTCAAACTATTGCTGCTCGTCAATGATGACTATATACCTAGAAAACGTTAAAGACTCCTCCAAAAGACTCCCAGGTTTGAGAAACAAATTCAGTAAAGTCTCAGGTTACAAAATCAGTGTATGTGAATCAGTAGCACTGCTATACACCAACAACGACTAAGCTGAGAATCAAATCAAGAACTCAATCCCTTTTACAATAGCTGCAAAAAAATATAAATAAAATAAAATACCTAGGAATATTCTTAACCAGAGTGATGAAAGATTTCTACAAGGAGAATTACAAGAAGCTGCTGAAAAAGAAACACATCCCATGCTCATGGATTGGAAGAATCAATATCATGAAAAGGACCATACTGCCAAAAGCAATCTACAGATTCAAAGCAATTCCTATTAAAATACCAACATCGCCAGGAGCAGTGGCTCATGCCTGTAATCCCAGCACTTTGGGAGGCCGCGGCTGGTGGATCACCTGAGGTCAGGAGCTCGGGACCAGCCTGGCCAACGTGGTAAAATCCCGTCTCTACTAAAAATACAAAAATAAGTTGCGCGTGGTGGCAGGTGCCTGTAATCCCAGCTACTTGGGAGACAGGCAGGAGAATCACTTGAACCAGGGAGGCGGAGGTTGCAGTGAGCCGAGATGGTGCCACTGCATTCCAGCCTAGGCGACAAGAGCAAAACACCGTCTCAAAAAATAATAAATAATAATAATAATAAAACACCAACATCATTTTTCACAGAATTAGAAAAAAATTCCTAAAATTCATAAGGAACCAAAAAAGAGCCCAAATAGCCAAAGCAATCCTAAACCAAAAACAAATCTGGAGGCATCACGTTATCTGGCTTCAAATTATACCACAAAACTGTAGTTATCAGCTAGGCGCAGTGGCTCACACCTGTAATCCCAGCACTTTGGGAGGCTGAGGTGGGCAGATCACTTGTGGTCAGTAGTTTGAGGCCAGCCTGGACAACATGGCTGAAACCTCATCTCTACTAAAAATACAAAAATTAGCTGGGTGTGGTGGCAGGCACCTGTAATCCCAGCTACTTGGGAGATTGAGACAGGAGAATATCGCTTAAACCCAGGAGGTGGAAGTTGCAGTGAGTCGAGATGGCGCCACTGCACTCCAGCCCGGGTGAGAAAGTGACGCTTCATCTCAAAAGAACATATATATACATATACATATACATAGTTATCAAAACAGCATGGTACTGGTATAAAATAAGGCACATAGACCAATGGAACAGAATAGAGAACCCAGAAATAAAGCCAAATACTTACAATTAACTGATCTTCAACAAAGCATACAAAAACACAAATTCATGAAAGGACACCCTATTTAATAAATGGTGCTGGAAAAACTGGATAGCCACATGTAGAAGAATGAAACTGAATCTCGATCTCTCACCTTTATACAAAAATCAACAACTCAAGATGGAACAAAGACTTAAATCTAAGATCCGAAACCATAAAAATTCTAGAAGATAACCTGGGAAAAACTCTTCTGGACATTGGCCTAGGCAAAGAATTTATGACTACAATCCCAGAAGCAAATGCAACAGAAACAAAAATAGGACCTAATTAAATGAAAAAGCTTCTGTACAGCAAAAGAAATAATCAGCAGAGGAAACAACTCACAGAATGGGAGAAAATATTTGCGAACTATGCATCTGAAAAAGGACTAATATCTAGAATCTACGAGGAACTCAAATCAGCAAGAAAAAATAATCATCTCATCAAAAAGTAGGCAAATGACAAGAATAGACAATTCTCAAAAGAAGATACACAAAAGACCAACAAACATATGAAAAAATGTTCAACATAACTAATCATCAGAGAAATGCAAATTAAAACAACAATGAGATACATTACCCTAGCCAGAAGGGCGATTGTTAAAAAGTCAAAAAACAACAATGTTGGTGTGGATGCAGTGAAAAGGGAATACTTTTACTCAGCTGGTGGGAATGTAAATTACTACAACCTCTATGGAAAACAGTATGGAGATTTAAAGAATTAAAAGTAGATCTACCATCCAATCCAGCAATCCCACTACTGCATATCTATCCAAAGGAAAAGGAGTCATTGTATCAAAAAGACATGTGTTTATATAATATGGAAGGAAAAAAATTAAAAAGACACCTGCCTGTATACGTTTATTGTAGCACAATTCACAATTGCAAAGATAAGGAACCAACCTAAGTATCTATCAACCAATGAGCGAATTAAAAACAATATGGTATATATACACCAAGGAATACTACTCAGCTGTAAAAAATAATGAAATAATACCTTTTGGAGCAATTTTGATAGAGTTGGAAGCCATTACTCTAAGTGAAGTAACTCAAGAAAGTGAAACCAAATACCGTATGTTCTCACAAGTGAGAGCTAACCTACTGGGTAGGCACAGGCAGACAGAGTGGTATAATGGACCATGGAGACTCACAAGCAGGAGGGTGAGGTGGGTGAGAGATAAAAAACTACTTTTTCTTTTTTGAGACAGAGTTTCGCTCTGTCACCCAGGCTGGAGTGCAGTGGTGTGATCTTGGCTCACTGCAACCTCTGCCTCCTGGTTGTTCAAGCAATTCTTCTGCCTCAGCCTCCCAAGTAGCTGGCACTACAGGCGTGGGCACTACCACGCCCAGCTAATTTTTGTATTTTTAGTAGAGACTGGGTTTCACCATATTCACCAGGTTGGTCTGGAACTATTGACCTTGTGATCCGCCCATATCGGCCTCCCAAAGTGCTGGGATTACAGGCGTGAGCCACCGCGCCCAGCCTTTTTTTTTTTTTTTTTGAGACTAATTCTCACTCTACCCCCCAGGCTGGAGTACAAGGGCATGATCTCCACTCACTGAAAACCTACACCTCCTGGGTTCAAGTGATTCTCGTGCCTCAGCCTCCCGAGTAGCTGAGACTACAGGCATGCACCACCACGCCCAGCTAATTTTTGTCTTTTTAGTAGAGACAGGGTTTTACCACGTTGGCCAGGCTAGTGTTGAACTCCTGACCTCAGGTGATCCACCTGCCTTGGCCTCCCGAAGTGCTGGGATTACAGGCATGAGCCACCGCGCCTGGCCTAAAAAACCTATTTATTGAGTACAATATACACTACTTGGTGGCGGGTATACTAATCTCAGACTTCTTCTCCACATGTTGTCTTTCCTTAAAACAGTTTGTTTTTTATCATTTCTATGTTAGTCCCTTCATTTAGTCTTGTAATGATGGTCTCAGGCAGTAACAGTAGTGACTGCTGTAATGACAGTCTCAAGCTGTAACAGTAGTAACTGCTGTAGTGACCATCTCAAGTAGTAACTGTGGCAGTCAGCCACAAGTGTGGCACAAGTGTGGCTATACAATTCATCCAAATAACTAAAAGCCACTTATACTCTAAAAGTTATTGAAAAAAATATATATATATATAAAATATATTTAATGGATCAATTACATGGCATATTAAATACAATTAAAGACTTAGAGATAGTCTTTAACAAGATATGAAAGAAACAAAAAAGTGTAAGGAAAATAAGTCAGGATAAAAAAAAAATCGACCTAATTTCAACTGGAGGACATAAAAATAGAAAATAGAGGATATTAAATATTCAAAGGGATAACACTATAATTTTCCAGCTCTAATGAAAAACATAAACTCTCGGATAGAGAAGGTATAATTTAACATAAATTACCTTAAACAGAATAAATTTCAAAAACAATCCATACCTAGATATATTATGGTGAAACAGCATATCAAAAGTAAATACATTTTAAAATAAAAATAGGCCGGGTGCGGTGGCTCACGCCTGTAATCCCAGCACTTTGGGAGGCCGAGATGGGCGGATCACGAGGTCAGGAGATCGAGACCATTCTGGCTAACACGATTAAAACCCATCTCTACTAAAAATACAAAAAATTAGCCGGGCGTGTTGGTAGACGCCTGTAGTCCCAGCTACTTGGGAGGCTGAGGCAGGAGAATGGCGTGAACCCAGGAGACAGAGCTTGCAGTGAGCCAGATTGCGGAGCTTGCAGTGAGCCAAGATTGTGCCACTGCACTCCAGCCTAGGCGAGAGAGCGAGACTCCGTCTCAAAAAATAAAAATAAAAAGAATAATAATAATAATTTCTTCCTTTCCCAAATCAAGTTGTTGTAAAGATCTAATGAGAATATATAATTTACATACATCTCAATAAATATTTTAGTCATATGTACTAACTTTATGAGAAATCCTCTCAATCTTGTGTGTTTTGAAAACCATTACAGCCTGGCTGGCTGTGTTTTTGCAACCAAATGAATGAAATAGTTTTGCTGTTTCTTTTACTTTCTAATTGCTTAAAAGCAAAGGTTCTTGAAGACTCACTGTAATATTTATCTTCATTGGCTGGAATTAGCAAATGACAGAGCCAAGCTACATGAGACCGAAGCACCCTTTCCAGTTCCATTCATAACTGTTAAACAAACATTTACGGCAAGCCTACAACAGGCAAGGAACTTCAAATGATGCAAAGATTATTAATTAGGTAATTTTCCTTTCAGCCTGTTAATAAGGTAGGCAGTATCGTATCTGAACACATGCTAGCTATTGGTAGGAAGAAAAGATATTAAACTTCTGGCTGTGCACAGCTGGCTATGCAACTGATGAATTCAGTGAAGAATATATTTTTAGTATAAATAAAACAAAGTTTAAAAAATTAAACATGCTTCAAACTACCCTCCCTTAATGCCAGATTCAAGTAAAAAGTCAATTTAACATTATTTACTCTTTTGCTTTACATGGGGCCATTAGAGTTTTAACAATCACAATAGAGAATGTACTGCAGAAAAAAATATGGAATGAAAACATATTTGTATGTAAGAAAGCCCTCTACTGAGAGAATCGTATGTGTTTCTTCAAGCTTTTCCAAAGCTACAAAGAATTACTGAAACAGATAATTAGAGATTTATAATGAGTACTATTTAAACCCTCTAGATTTAAAAAATGTTTATTATTATTAGGACTTCATATGATCTGTAACTTCTGGAGAACAATATAAAACTGTCAGAACTCTGGGGCAAGAATTATAATAGAGACTCCCAATTTAAGACAATGAAACTAATGAAAATAGACACATAATAGACAAATAATCTTCAATTATCTTAAAGATAGAAATAAGCAACACAATTCAATACAGTCTCTTTAACAGCAAAAGACAATGGAGTAGATACGTTCAGGACAATGTTCAGGGAAAAAAAAAAATCTTAAAACAGTTTTTCATGGGAGGAAAGTACACTATCTGTATTTGCCGGCAAGGAATTTACATACCATAAATGATTATTTCAAAGGTACCATGAAAGAAAACATTCCTTACCAATCTAACAAGGAGATTGTATGATTAAAATAATAAATAAAAGACAAAAATCCCTATCCCTAAATAACATTGCTGTTACATATTTTAAAGACTGTTTCCCAGGCACATTAACCTTTAAAAGACATCTGCACAAAAATCAGGTCTCATTATCCTCAATACAATCACTACCATCATAGGTAAATTATGGAGATGACAATATAACAGCATATTATCACCAACCTGCACATTTCAGTTCTCCAGTATCTGCACTGCCCTTTTCTTTGACTTCTACTAAGAAAGAATCACTAGATAAAAGTGACAGGAGTTGTCATGTTTTCTTTGGGTTTAATGAAGTAAATTTTAATCCATTCACAAAGACTACACAGTAGTCCCCCCACCTCTAATCAGCAGTTTCGCTTTCCATAGTTTCAGTAATCCAAGGTCAACCATGGTCCAAAAATAGGTGATAGGTGTCCAAAATATCTCATAAAATAAGATATTTTGAGAGACAGAGAAGGTAGAACACATTCACACAACTTTTACATTATTTTAATTCTTCTATTTTATTTTACTTACTGTTAATCTCTTACTGTGCCTAATTTGTAAATTAAACTTCATCTTAAATATGTATGTATAGGAAAAATATAGTGCCTATAGGGTTCAGTATTATCTGTGGTTTCAGAAAACCATTGGGTGTCTTAGAACCCAGTTAAGTGGGAAAACTACGGTAATTTACAATACAAGGAATTACCAAAGGAATAGCTTTTTCTCAGTGTGACTTACCAGTTACTTAATTGAAATTTGGGCCTTATTTCAAGATCCCAGGCTAATCCACAAAACAGTAACAGCAGATATTTTGATTACTGACAGTGTCATAGGCCACATAAATATATATACTCACTTCATTCTAACATTACTATGAAGTGGGTAATATCAGCAATCTCATTACAATGATGAGCAAAGCAAGGCTCAGAAAAGTTAAGTGACTTTCCCAAAGACACATATTAAGCAGTTGAACTGAGATTCAAGCCAGATCCCCTAACACCAAAGTTCCTATGCTACTTACCTAACTACTAGAGTAATACACCATTATGTACTATGGTAATTCTGTTAATCCTTCTACTGCCTATATACAATTCCATAGCGTGGATGCACTAGAATTTACTGGGCTGGTGCAAAAGTAGTTGCGGTTTTGGCCATTAAAAGTAATGTTTGGAAAAAAAAAAAAAAGCCACCATGCTTGGCTAATTTTTGTATTTTTTTTAGTACAGACAGGGTTTTGCCACATTGGTCAGGTTGGTCTCGAACTCCTGACCTCAAGAGATCCACCTGCCTCAGCCTCCCAAAGTGCTGGGATTACAGGTGTGAGCCACCACACCTGGCCAAGAGTCAGAATTTAAAAGAATGTTAAAAGAAAAGCTGCAGATCAATAAGCATCTAGCTCAGGAATTTTTTTTTAAATAGTAAATTAAGCCCCCCCAAAAACAGAAATAAAATTATTAATAAAGTCAGAAATTAGCAAAGTATACTAAAGAAGAAAGAGATAAATAAAATCAAAAGTTAGTTATTTGAAAATAGTAATAAACCTGCTAACTTCAGTAACACTGACCATGGGAGGATATGATGGCTAATTCCCCAAATAGCCCCGAGTGACCCCTGCCCTCTGGTACAGTTGGCTCTGAGTATCCATGGCTTTCCCATCCATGGATTGCCCAACCACAGATCAAAAATATTTGGGGGAGAAAAATGAACGGGTATGGGTGCATTTGTACTGAACATGTACTGAATTTTTTCCTTGTCATCATTCCCTAAACAATATAGTGCAATTATTTACACAGCAATGATTTGCAAACAATTATTTACATAGCATTACATTGCATTAGGTATTATAAGTAATCTAGAGATGATATAAAGTATACAGGAGGATGTGTGTAGGTTATATGCAAATACAAGGCCATTTTACATAAGGGATTTGAGCATCCGTGGATTTTGGTGTCTTTGAGGTGTCCTGAAACCAATCCCCCATGGATACTGAGGAATGACTACATTTACCTCCTTGCCAAATTCCTTCCTGTTGATTTTGGACTGGGCTTAGTGACTCACTTCTAATGGATAGAACAAGGCAGAAATGATGGTATGTGACTTGGAGACTAAACCAACGAAAGCATTAAGGTGTCGCTCTTTTAGGAGAGGCCATGTCATAAGCAAGTGCTGTGAAGAGGACCATTTGGCAAGGAAAGGAACCAAAATCTTCTGCCAACAGCATGTGAATGACTATGGAAGTCAATCTACCAGCTCCAGTCACGTCTGTAGCCCTGTAGCCCTGGCTGCTAGCTGAACTACAACTTCTTGAGATATCTTGAGCCAGGATCTCAACAGGCTTTGTTTAATGTCTCTGAGAGCTTGAAAAACTGACTCTAAAATTTCTACAGAATTCAAACCTCCAAGTACAGGCACACTCTTAAAAAAAGAAAAACAAGGTAGGAAGACTAGCTCTACGTATATCAAGACTTATAAAAGTTATAATAATGAAGGTGGGGTAGTATTGTTGCAGGATCAACGACCAATGGAGTCCAGAAACAGATTCATACAGACCTATATGGATACCTTATAACACACGTGTCAATGCAGAGTACGGAGAAACGCATGGTCTTTCCAACAAACGGTATGGGGGGTCAAATTGATGTCCAAGTGGAAAAAAATTTTGATCCCTGCTATATTTAATACAAACTACACATAAAATCATTTTCAGATGATTATAACTCCATGTAAAATACAAAATAAGAAAGCTTCCAGAAATTTTAAATAGTAAGACAAATAACAATAGGAAAGAATGAAAAGTATAGATTACAACAAAATTAAGAAGTTTTATTCCTCCAAAGATATCAAAAGAATGCCACAAAATGGGAAAGAAAATCTACAACACATATAACCAACTTGTATTCAGAATATATAAAGAACTTCTACTAATCAACTTAAAAAAAAGACAACTCATTAGAAAAATGGGCAAGAATTTCAATAAGCATTTTACAAAAAAAGGATACTCATGTGCCAATAACCACAGGAAAAGGTCCTCAGCATCACTAATCAGGGAAATGCAAATTAAAACCATAAGCAGATATACAACATGTAACAACATGAACAAATCTCATAAACACAATGTTGAACGAAAGACGCTAGACACAAATACTATATTCCATGAGATTCTATTTGTATAAAGTTCAAAAACAGAGGCCGGGCACGGTGGCTCACGCCTGTAATGCCAGCACTTTAGGAAGCTGAGGCGGGTGGATCACGAGGTCAGGGGATCAAGACCATCCCGGCTAACACGGTGAAACCTCGTCTCTACTAAAAATTAGCTGGGCGTGGTGGCGGGCGCCTGTAGTCCCAGCTACTTGGGAGGCTGAGGCAGGAGCATGGCGTGAACCTGGAAGGCGGAGCTTGCAGTGAGCCAAGATGGCGCCACTGCACTCCAGCCTGGGGGACAGAGCGAGACTCCACTACGGGACCGGGGGAGGGAACAGACAAAACTAAAATACAATGTTAAGAATCAATTTAGTAGTTACCTTGAAGGGGGTAAAGGTTACGAGGGGAGATGAAGGGATTATTGGATGCTGGTAATATTCTATTTCTTGCCTTGAACGGTAGTTCTCACATGTATTTGCTTTGTGGAAAAAGCACTCAGATTAACAACTAGGTTTTGAACACTCTTCTTTCTGTATTACATACATCACTAAAAGTGATTTTTTTAAAAAAGCAAAACATAATAACAAACATAGCAGAGTTTAGCATGGCTAACTTCAGCCAACCGGAAAATTAAATTATGCTGAACTGCTCATTTTACCCCCAAGTTCAAATAACTAAGGGATTAAAAATCTTACATTTGACTTTGAGGCAGAACAAAAAACTCCTACAAATATTCCCCCAGCTAATTCATGTAAATCAGTATTCAAAACAGAAATGACATATATTGTATTGTCTGATGTCCTATAATGGTTTTCTTTTTAAAACCCAAGAAATAAAAAATACAAAAAGAAAGAAGAGTAAGGAAAGAAAAACAAGGAAATGTAACATAATTAGCTCCCAATAAACCACACATTAGACAATCATCAATTCACTTCTAGTGTTTACTTTCAAGTTACCGTTAACTAAAACACGAGATTTTCTTAGTGCAGCTTTTAAAATGTTTCTTATAAATGGACTGAAAATATCAATTAACTCACATTGTAATTATAAGCACCACTCAAGTGCATATAAAACATGCAAGTTTATTCTCTCCTGGCCCAATACCTGAATTAAACAACAGTTAAGAGAGGACAGCAGATGTTTCAAGACAGATCACATCTTAAAAATGAGAGATGACAGATGAAGGTGAAAATATGAGAACTTATGCTTTAGGAAGAGAGGGATGGTAGAGAATTCTGAGGAGGAGGAAACATTAATCGTTTTATGCTACTTCTTATATCTAACAAAACAGATAAGGAACACTGAGATAAAAAGAGCAAGCCAAATGAAAAATGTAAAAGCAAAATCACAAAGTCCCCCAAAATAAGCAAAACCAATTTATTTTATTTTTATTTCTTTAGACGGAGTCTCACTCTGTCATTCAGGCTGGAGCGCAATGGCGCGATCTCGGCTCACTGCAACCTCGGCTCACTGCAACCTCCGCCTCCCAGGTTCAAGTGATTCTCTGCCTTACTCAGCCTCCCGAGTAGCTGGGATTACAGGCACACGCCACCATGCCTGGCTGATTTTGTATTTTTAGTAGAGACAGGGTTTCACCATGTTGGTGAGGCTGGTCTCAAACTCCTGACCTCGTGATCCGCCCACCTCAGCCTCCCAAAAGGCTGGGATTACAGGCATGAGCCACCGCGCCTGGCTGTAAAACAAATTATTTTTTAATAGCACTTTTACATTTCATTTTTAACAAATTAGGAAGGAGGTGGGGGAAAGGATAAAAACAACAAACCAAAGAAGTGAAGAGGTAAGAGTCAAATAGCCCAAATCTTGACGCTGACCTTTCAGAGATAAACCTATATCACAAACTTGCTATAAAATATTCCTGTTGTTGTTGTTGTTGTTGTTGTTGTTGAGATGGAGTTTTGCTCTTGTTGCCCAGGCTGGAGTGCAATGGTGCGATCTCAGCTCACTGCAACCTCCGCCTCCCAGGTTCAAGTGATTCTCTTGCCTCAGCCTCCTGAGTAGCTGGGATTATAAGCACTCACCACTATACTGGGCTAATTTTTGTATCTTTAATAGAGATGGAGTTTCACTATGTTGGCCAGCCTGGTCTCGAACTCCTGGCCTCAAGTGATCCACCCACCTCGGTCCCCCAAAGTGCTGGGATTACAGGCGTGAGCCACCATGCCCGGCCTAAAATATTCTTAAGAAATAATTTGAAAGTAATCAATATTGCAAAGCTGCAAAGAAACAGGCAGAAAGTATTATTTAACACTACCATAACCACCTGTATGGTGATCTTCATACAGAAGGGGCTTTCACATATAATAGGTTGTCAATTCTGTGAGAGAACTTATAATTAATTCCATTTAACAAGGGAGGAGCCCTGTGGTTTGCGCCTATAATCCCAGCTACTTGGAAGGCCGAGGTAGGAGGATCCCTTGAGTCCAGGGGTCCTACACTAGCCTGGAGAATGTAGCGAGACCTTGTTTCAAAAAAAGAAAGAAAATAAAAAAGAGGAAAAGGTCTCTAAGATGTAAAAACACTAAGTGCAAGCATCCAGTGTCCATTATACCATGCCATTTATAAATGTCCTTACCATGAAATACTCAGAGACTAAAAAAAAATTGTTGACTTAAGAAAACAAAATTGAGCAGCATGGAACAGTAATTTGGAACCACTAGGTAAAATGCTTACCTAACACTGGTAGACAGTGGATGAGGAGAAGAGGTGAGAAAATGAAGCTTATACTTGGGTTTATGCCATGGGGAAAACCTTTACTGAAACTGCTTTATAACTGGGTATTTTTTGTTTCAGTGGTAACATCCCCAAGGATAAGGTCCAAGATGGTCTCATCCCTTAAGGTACTCATATCATTTTAAGCATGGTTCTTATAAGACTTGGTATCTGTACTGTCTATATTTTATACTTGATGTAAATATAACATCTTAACAGATTCAGCAAACTTCCTACTTAAAGAGATATCAGGTACAAAATAACTAAATTACCTTTAGAGATGCTTGCTTTTAAATATGATACTAATTATCTTATAGAGATAGCTTTAGATTTTCTTAAAATAAAAACTTTATACTTTTACTTCAACAAGCTTCTGGAGTAACAACATGACCAGAATCTGGTAAACTGTAACTTTCAAACTCTTTGAAATTCAGTCAGAATAAATCATTTCTTTTCAAGTTGTTTTGGGAATCCAGACTTTCAGGAGTAAATCTTATGTGAGTATATTTTACTAACCGTATATATATAAAATCTGAACAAGTGGTTGGTAATAATGGATTGTTAAATACAGTAGGGTAGACTTGATGTCTAGACAAGATAATGGTGAGAGCTGCACTTTTAAGAACATTGGTTACTTGCTCTGATAAAAAGGAAAAACAAAGAATGTTTCTATTATGTAAGGTTACTATGAAATGCTTACATCTTGAAACGACAATAGATACAGCTGCCACTACTTTGAAAACAATTTCATTGGAATCCATCACATGCTAAAAGCTGATTATTTTCCATGTCCACAACTCTAGTTAACATTTTCAAGACTGTACATTTGACTAATCTTTACTTCCAGCCTCTTTAAACGTAAAACAAAAACAGATTATAAAAGAGCAAGAGCTAGTGAGTGTTGGGAATCATCCAGCAATGAGTAGTAGCTGAAACGAGATACTGTAAGAAGGGAAGACGGCCACAGCTACAACACTTACAATTAAATGTAACACCCCATTTACGGAAGAAAACCTCCTCTGCACAATTCATTAACTCAACAAATACTAATTACTGACTGACACACAACAGTGGTATATTCGAAGGTTACTTAAAAATTTATTTTAACGTTAAGAGCCCTGTGTCCTTAAAACGATTTAAAAAAAAAAAAAACTTTATAGTTAAATATGAAATTAGCTACACACAATTGTGTACAGAAAAAGTAATATTTAACTTTTAATTTTCAGTATGATTTAGATCAGGAAGGGACCTAAGATTGTTCAGCCCAACCTTTTTATTTGGAGGGAAAAGCGAAGAAAAGCTAGTAAGTAGACCATATGGTCACACCAATGGTGATAGTACGGAATTCAAAATAAAAAATATATTAATAGACTCTTAATAAAGCTAATAACTAAACAATCAACAAAATAAATTCTGAATTAACTCAATTTTCTTAGCTAATTGTAATAATGAACGAGGTTCCTAAATGGCTACGAAATAAAATTTCTTTTGCATAACAAGGTTGGCATAGCTATGACTATAATAAAAATTGTCTTTACAGAAACAAATAAATATTCAGGATAAGTGTTTTGAAGTTAAAAGAAAGAAAAGTACATCAAAATAATCAATCCCTTTCCCCCAGTGTCCCTGATTACTCTATCTCTTTATGTTTAAGAAACTCAGAATGGGCCGGGAACAGTGGCTTACGCCTGTAATCCCAACATTTTGGGAGGCCAAGGTGGCTAGATCTCTCAAACTCAGGAGTTGGAGACCAACATGGGTAACAAGGTGAAATCCCATCTCTACAAAAAATACAAAAAAAGTTTAGCTGGGATTGGTAGCACACGCTTGTAGTCCTAGCTACTAGGGAGGCTGAGGTGGGAGGATTGCTTGAGCCTGGGAGGTGGAGGCTGCAGTGAGGTGTGATCGTGCCACTGCACTCCAGCCCGGACGACAGAGTGAGACTCTGTCTCAAAAAACAAACAAACAACAACAACAAAAAACACCTCAAAATGGTACTGTGCCTGTATCTAAAATGATTCCTATCTATATTTTAACTATAAATTACCTGATGAATATATAATCAGCCCTTTTTTCAATAGATAGCATACTTATAGGCAGCAGACACCAACCTTTTTGGCAACAGGGACCAGTTTCGAGGAAGACAATTTTTCCACGGAAGGAGTGAGGGGGCACACAACCTAGATCCCTCGTGTCTGCAGTTCACAATAGGGTCTGCGCTTCTGTGATAATCTAATGCCGCCGCTGATCTGACAAGCAGTAGAGCTCAGGCAGTAATGCACACTTGCCCGCCCTCCCTCTCCCCTCCCCATGGCCACTCACCTCCTGCTGTGACACCCGGTTCCTAACAGGCCACAGACCAGTAG